TCAGCTGATAAAAGTCTTTGAATCTCATTATCTGCTCCAAATGGTGGTCAAACTTTGACAAACTTCGGACTGCATGAGACAGGAAATGACGTGAAGTGAAAGCCAGCAATAATGAAATAGAATACGCGCAAGCGTGCAGTTACAAAGCACGTGGAGATGCGAGATGAGAATGCGAGAGAACTGTTAGGAGAAGCATCGCGTATAGCGTATTGATTCGTGAAAATATTAAGACCTTTGTAATTCTCTTCGCAAAGGATTCTGGTAGTTGTAGTAGCTTTTATTCCATTATCTTACCTGAACAAGAGCTGTCTCTGAACTAATGGATGAACATTAACTATCTCAGGATCAACAGTTTCCAGCCAATCCACAAACAATCCTTTACTAAGATCATACGCCGACCTATCCTCGCCATGTGGATCGCAAGACAACAAGGTCGTGAGGATCTCCACGCATGTCTTAAGCGGGAGAGACTGCTTAGAATTCCATGGTGAGTCTGCGTGCTCATGTCGAGTCTTTTGAAAAATCATTAGGCTAAATAGAGCTTTACACACATCGTCTAGTAACTGAGGATTGCTTGACTTGACTTTCATGCAAGCTGTTAAGACATGTAAAGATAGACATCATTATGGGTAAGTGTTCGTGTTTCGTACGAAATGCCTCAAACCAAGAGAGCATAAATAAGAGAGGGATACTTCTTAATAACGCGCGCGTCACGCGAATTCCCGGTCGAGCTACTTTTGGTACAATACAATACAATACAATACAACCATGCAAGCTGTAAAGACATGAAAAGATAGACATCCTTATGCGTAAGATATCGTGGTTCGTCCGAAATGCCTCAAACCAAGAGAGCATAAATAAGAGAGGGAAACTTCTTAATAACGCGCGCGCCATGTAAATTCCCAGTTGAGATATTTTTGGTAACCAGATGCAGTATAAAATTTGTCTTTGTCATCAAATTCGTCTGAGAAGCGCATGCATGACGTCATGCCGAACAGCGAAGATATATAAGGCAATACAATAATCATATAATTCAATTCCACTCGAATGTCATACCTTTAACAGCTATATCTTTATCAATACGTTCAGCTCGGGTTCCCGGTATTCTTGCAGCTTCAATAAGCTTTCTTATTTGTGTTTCATCAACACTACCCTCATTCTGGGCGATTTCTTTTAAGATGTTAGTCACTGGGGAAAATGGAAAATATAACGAAAAATAATCAAGACTACACGGTCACGACTACATTTGGTGATCTGCCCAAAAGACCTCTTTTATACACTGGCCAAAAAAGATCACCAACAACGATCTTTGGTTAAGAACAAAGCAAATACCAGTGGAAGATGAAATCGGGAGAAGAAGATGGCGATGGCTGGGACATACACTACGCAAACCAGCATCAAATACCACCAGACAATCCCTGCTATGGAATCCCCAGGGGAGAAGGAAAAGAGGACGGCCAAAACGTCCTGACTTTGAATTACGTAATTTATTATATACATTACCGGATTTTTTTACATCTGTCTCTGTGATTCCAAGCTGTTTCTTGTACTGTTGTAGCATGCATGATAGCGGACCAGCTACAGGTAAAAAGAAAACATTTAAAAAAACCCATGGCTTCATCTCAAACTTAGAATATGGTATAAGGAATCAAGAGGTGGCGTAGCGGTAATGTAATCCCACCTGGGGTCTTGGATTTGATTCATGGTCTATGCATCATCACATGTGAGAGAAGAGTTTGTGAGAAGAGTGTTTTTGTAAGATTTATCGGGTTTTCCTCCCTTCGCAAACCCCAACAAGTTAAATAATAGACCTCGGCTAGGGCGTAATGTTTTCCCATGTCAGACCACGTGTCATTCCTTTATGAATAAGATTCTTTGTTTGAGTTTTATCCATGGATTCATGGCTTCTCATGTGCAACCGTTACACAAAGAAATGATACTCTAGGGAATGACACGTGGTCTGGAATAGGAAAGCGTTACGCCCGACCCGAGGAGGTCTATTCGATCTTTAAGTAAACTGTGTCTTGACTTAGACCAACCCAGAAGTCTTTTCAGGGTTTGATCTGTTAGATATCAGTGCCCTGAATTTTCAGCTCGGAGGTTGTTGCCCTTACTTAGATCCGCCTCTTACCTTTAGAACATCTCGAAGACAATTTTTGGATGAGTTCTGTGAAACTAGAGGTTGCTTTTGAATGTCGTTTGAGAGCATTCTGTGAGACAAAAGAGCAAAAGGAGAGCAATTAACTGATTGAACCAAAAGCCTCTAAACTTGGTTACAAAAAAAACAGCAAAGTGATGAGGGTGGAGTGGTTCCTTAGCCAGAGACGTAGCTATAGAGTACCAGAGTTGTAAGTGGGTGTTTAGATGAGTGTTCGAGTGGGTGTTTGGGTGTTTGGGTGGGTGTTTGGTTGAGTGTTTGGTTGGGTGTTTGGGTGGGTGTTTGGGTGGGTGTTTGGGTGGGTGTTTGGGTGGGTGTTTGGTTGGGTTTTTGGGCGGGTGTTTTTGGGTGGGTGTTTGGGTGGGCGTTTGGGAGGATGTTTGGGAGGGTGTTTGGTTGGGTGTTTGGTTGGGTTTTTGGGTGGGTGTTTGGGTGGGTGTTTGGGAGGGTGTTTGGTTGGGTTTTTGGGTGGGTGTTTGGGAGGGTGTTTGGTTGGGTGTTTGGGTGGATGTTTGGGCAGATGTTTGGGTAGATGTTTGGGTGGGTGTTTGGGGGTGGAGTATGGGGTATTGCTTTGG